AAAAAAAAAAAATTTCCATCTAAGAACGAGGAAAGCAAAGAACCAAAGAAAAATTCTAAGGTAAGTGTTTGTCAAATAAAAGGGGGAAAGCTTTAGAATTCCTTTTTCTGAAAACATGAGATTACGTGAAATGTTGTACTAAGAAAATATAGTTAATTATAACAATAGATAATGACGATAATAAGTATGAATTATGAGTGGAGCTGGCTTGGGTTGGGTGAGCTGGAAGACAACCATGTAGTCCATTACACTTCTCAGAAGTCAAATGTCCTTGGATCCCCCGTGAGAATATATAATACACTTTTATATGTATAAACTATACATATTAATCTATCACCAACAATTTCTTTTGAATCAAGTACGAACTAAAATTCGAAACAGACGAAAGAACCAAGCATTTTTACCATTGTAAACGTTTATAGAGACTTTCTTTTTCTTGTTAGTTGTTTGAGTCTTTGAGGAAAAAACGCCATATTTTTATTTCATTAGTTCAAAGTGATATACTGTATTGTTTATACTCCGACTAAAGCCAATCCTATCATTGTAGTAGTTATATAGTCTTCTGAGTCGTAAGCAATTCATGTTTGTTTTTTTGTCGAATTTGGAGGAAACCGTATAAATATGATGGTTTGTCTCCGTTTTATTGATTAACCAATATATATATTTATACAAGATAATAATTTATCTAATAAATGAAATCTAATTTATACAAAAATATTAAATTTCCTAATAACTATAATGAAATATATTTCAGGCATAATCCCTAGGGCTGGGCACAGATACCAGTTACTCCTTCTTTACCCGTTACCCGGCTCGTACCCGTCTCGAAAAATATGGTATCCATAACGCTCGAGTCGGGTAAAAAGTACTATAACTTTGATACCCGCGGGTAAGGGTCGGATAAAAGGTATCATTTTTTTTCACTACCCGTCTCGTTATCCGTCTTTGTACTCGATTTGCTACCAGACCCGTAAATACTCGCATTTTATATCACTAATATTTGATAAATTTAGTTATAAAATAAATTGTATAATATATAGTGTAGTATAAATATTCACAACGTCAATATTTTGTGTTTTTTAATTGTCATTGATAATTTTGGAGATGATGGATTAC